TCATTGAATTTCCATTCTCTCACGATGATATGCTGCAGCATTACTTCCGGGTCTTTCATTTTACCTTCATCTTTCTTTTCAACGCAAACTCTGAACATGGTTGAATGTTCGTCGTTGTTAATTGCTTTGGGGTCAGTTTCGTCAGTTCGCTTTATAACTGGGAAACATGTAATCACGTTTATACCACTTGTCTGCAAGAACTCCACAACATCATCTCTGTGGCATTTCTTAACATTGCTTAGGCAAAAAACTTTTTTTTTCATGATTATTTTATCAGGTTGTAATTTTACATGTTCTATAATTTTGGTGCCGATAATCCTCTTTGCAGGTTTTTTTGATTGTTCCATTTTGTTGATGTTCTCATTTGGTGGATTTTTAACTGTGTTTACAACGTTTATATTTTTTTCAACAGAACTTGTACTGAGTTTGGTTCTATTCTTGTTTCTGTTCACGACCATTGCATAGGTTTGTAACATGTCGCTTGGTGTTTGTACAGCGTCTGACCAAGGTATATTGTTATTGTTTACGGAATTGATTTTAGCTATTTCTAATTCAGGTTCATGCAAATTACTAACTAGATATTTATTAATCAAGTTTGTACTATCTAAGCTATATTTATTAATGCGGTCGCGTACAGACACCTGTTCGTTACTTAGACGCACGTTGTGCATTGACAGCAGTGATTTATTCATTTCCGTTAATTCATTCAATTTTTCTACCATTTTGTCATTATTTATTTGAATAATATCTAAAATATCTAACCCTTCTCGAGGAACTCTGCTTGGATTCAAGATAACAAAAGTCGGCAAATTTTGTTGTAAATCATTTGAAGTAATATATTTAAATATTTCAACTAACTCGACTACCTTGTCAACTTTTTTATTTCCACCTTGTTTGAGTGATAATTTTTCTTTTTTATCTTTTTTTATGATATCCAATTCATTAAGTAACAATTTTTTGGCAGTAGATATTTCTTCGGAATTGTAGAATTCTACAACTGCATTTTTAAACTTTTCATTTTCGATGATATTTAAATTTTCGCAAAAAAACCACAAGAGTTCAGAAATCTGCAGTCGCTTGCTGGCCATTTTTTTTACATACATACATACATACATACATACATACATAGATATATACATACATACAAACAAACATACATACATACATATCCATACAATGTAAAAAAAACAAACATTCATTTTTCATCCCATATTAGTTAAGAAGCTAGTCTTTTATCCAACATTATGTTTGTGTGTGTTTGTAAATGTGAGTCTACGTATGTGTGTATGTATGTATTGTGTATTTAGAAATAAATTGAAAGCAATCTTACTTAAACAATCTATGTAAATGTTTAATTGTTTTTCATGTGGGTATGTGTATTTTTGTTCGTTTGTTCGTTCGTTCGTTTGTATGTGTGTGTTTGAATGTTTATAAGTGTGTGTTTGAATGGATGGTAGAAAATCGACACTATTTTTGCACCAACCTGATATTAACAACATTAGCCACAACAACAACAACAAAAACCTACAACAACATTTTCAACAACAACATGAGGGCATTACTTTAGATTCGCTTTCAAATTTATATCATATATTGTTCGCCGGATTTTCAACTACTATCATTGCTACTACTACTACTACTAATACAACCACTATTATTATTATTATTATTACTACTACTACTATTTCTGCTACTACTAATACAACAACAACAACTACTACTACTACTACTTCTGCTACTACTACAACTACAAATATTACAAATACTACAATCAATGAACAATTTTTTTTATCAAATTTTCTACCGAAAATAAAATTTATAACAAATAAACAGTTTTTAAATTACATACCAACATTCAAAAAATAT